CATAAGCAAAAATGTATTCGTGCACTGTATTAATTTTTAAATTAATTAAAAATAAAATATTATAAATAAAACGAATGTAGTATACAGTACACTATGGAATCAGACAGAAAATGGGTTGATCACTTTTCTAAGGAAATATGTTTTAATCCCAGTCAGCGGCAACAAAAAATGTGCTTAAGATACTGTTAGCGCATACTTAAAAACCCAGTTTTCCATCAGCTATAAACAAATTTACAAATCATACAGCAGCATTTAAAAGTGAGTCCAGGGGCGCCTGGGTGGCTCAGTCGTTAAGCGTCCGCCTCAGCTCGGGTCAAGATTCCGGAGTCGTGGGATCCCAGCCCCACACTGGGCTCCCTGCTCGGCGGGAAGCCTGGTTCTCCCTCTCCCACTCCCCCTGCTTGTGTTCCCTCTCTCGCTGTGTCTCTCTCTGTCAAATAAATAAATTTTTTATTAATAAATAAATAAATAAATAAATGTGAGTCCAAAAGAGTACAGGAGCACAGACCAGATCTTTGCAGGGCACAAAAGCCTTCCGACAAGGCGTTGTATGCAAAGTACCACCTCAGTGAATACTTCCTTCCCTCCATATTTTAGGTTCACTAGAGCCTTCACCAGATTTTGAGTTCTAAGAGGGCGGCCCTTGAGGCCTTGTAGAATGTGGAATCTGACTTCGGAACACCTCACGTCAGGTTCAGGTTCTTGAGTAAATAAACTAACTTTCAGAGTTCTCAACTTCCCTACACACCAGTAAAACGGGGACTATCGATGCCTACAAACGACGGGAGAGAACCAAATTACTCAGTAAGCAGCAAACACACTCTTTTGATCTGCATTTTGACAAGTTTGGTTTAATAGGAATTATGCTGAGGCGGGAGGAGAGCACATGAAATGAAGGCATTTCAGTCTTGGGGTTCCACTCCCCCCCCCCGCCGGGCTCAGGAGGGACGTCCAGTTAGAGTTGCCAGTTCCAAGACCTGGTGTAGTAGGGACTGCTGGGTCACACCCTCTGTGGGGGCACCACGTCCACAACGCACGTGGCAGTACGGTCGAGGTTTGGGGCATTTGGCTCCATTTTGACAGTAATAAGCGCCACCGTCTACTGTCGGCCAAGCCTAGTGCCATGACCGGAGCTTACGTCCAAACTCATCCTACCCTGCAAAATACCGGCTACCATAGACACAGGCAAGAGTCGGAGGCTCGAGGAAAGGACTCCCTCCTCCCCAAGGTCACCCAGGGGGCGGCACTTGCCCCGCCCGCGCCTCCGAGCTGCGCGAGGTCAGTGCGCTCCGCCCTGAGGCAGAGACGCCCCGGGGAGAAAACTCCCTTCCAGCAAGCACTTCCCCAGCGACGACGGGAGCCTAGCCGAGGCTCAACCCTTTCGGCTTTACCCCCGCGTCGGCCGAACAAACAAGCAAGTGCCTCCTCACAGTCCCCGACGACTCCCTGACGAGCGTGGCGTCCCGCCAAGGTCCGCGTCCGCGCCCTCGTGCTCACCTGCACCACGCAGCAACCCAGCGCATCCTTCTGAGCGTCAGGCGGGACGAGAGTCCGGGGGGAGAGGCCCGGGTGCAAGAAGTGAACCATGGCGACCCCCGTCGGTGGGACGTCAGGAGAGAGCGGGCGTCGGGCCGGGACCCGGATCCCGCGAGAGGATGAGGCGTCTCCAGCCGGGAAGCAGCTTGAGCAGCGCCGGCTCCCAGGCAGCTGACGCAGCCCTCACGCCGCTCCGTCCCCGCCGCAAAAGTTTTGAAACGCCCGGCGAGGCGGCGCGCACGCGCCCGCCGCAGCCTCGCCCCCTCCCGCGGAGGCCGGACCGCCGCAGACCCCGCCCCCAGGATGGGCTCTCCCCTCTCCTATTCCCCCCCCGCCCCCCACCACTACCCCACTCTATCAGGGCCCAACCGTCTCCTTTGGGGCGCCGCTTCGCCGCCGAAAGCGCCTTATACTTCTGTGCCACTCACCCCACTCCTATTCAACCCTCTGAGACCAAACTCCCTCAAACCACACCTTAAAGATTGATACCGCATTCCCGTCACCCCTCTAAATACTGCCCAGCGACCACTTCAGTGAAGTTGGGAAAGAGGTTATATTTTTATTTTTGCTTTAGTAATTTCTACACCCATGATGGGGCTCGAACTCATGACCCAAGATCAAGAGTCGCATGCAGTACCCACTGAGCCAGCCAAGCACCTGTAGAATATATGTTATACATTAAAAACATATATATTTTAAAGACCGTTCTCCTAAAACTCCGGCACAGGCACCTCTATTATATCTACCTTCTCTATTTCAACTCCTACTGACATTGGATGATCAAATACCAAAACCACTTCTGACCTTTTAAGTCCACAAAATGAACTAGTCCACTTCCTTCTAACCTACAAGGTCCAAGAAAGCAACCCTCAAAGAGCAGTGAATTATTACACTTCAGCTAATTTAGAATAAAATATGTCTTGAAAAGGGTACTTCTAAAAGCGTATAAGTCTTGAATTTGAATCTTGGAATGTTTGCTCAGTCCTACCTACAAAGTTGTAAACCTTGGGCAAGATTCTTTATTTCTTTAAAACTCAACATCCCCATCAGTAAAGTAGGGTAAGAAAGAATGTGTTAGCACACAGGATTGATGTAAAGATTAAACAAGATAATGTACATTAAAAACATAAAATGCTTGACACATAGCAAGTCTTTGATAAGTGGATTCAAAAGTTAAAATAATTTTTCAAGTACAAATACTTTGCAAAATGCTTTCCTTTCACATTTATTCTTTTATTTAATCCTCATACCAGGGGAAAAAAAAAAAGAAGTCCTTGTCAGTAGGTATCTCCATTTTACCCACAGAGAACCTGAGCACCTGAGAGGTTGAATAGACAAGTTAAATTGTTGCATCTGATGAGTGGAAAACCTGATGGTCAAAATCTAGTTTTCTAACTCCCAGTCCAGCCAATGTTTTGTGTTTTTTTCCAGTGGACTATTTCATAACTTCTCCTCTATCCTCAAACTTCCAAAACTTCCTCTCCCAACCATATTCTCAGCTGCCTGTTTTACTGAAAAAAGAAATTAAAAAAAAAAAAAAAAGAACATCCCAAGTTCCCACCATCACCACCACATCTACCCACCTATCTGTACTATCACCTATTTTATTCTTACCTAAACCCAACTCTGGCACTTGGACTTGTCCGCTAGATCTAATTCCATCTTGCTTACTCGAAGATACCATCCCGCAACATCCTTTCTTTCTCCTGCATTATCATTTTTCCCCCTTTCTTGGATCGTTGCCACTAGTGTACAAACAAGCTGAGGGGTACTTAGGGCTCAGTCAGTGCAGCATGGGACTCTTGATCTTGGTTGTAAGTTCCAGCCCCACGCTGGGTGGAGAGATTGCTTAAAAATAAAATCCTTTAGGGCGCCTGGGTGGCTCAGTGGGTTAAAGCCTCTGCCTTTGGCTCAGGTCAGGGTCCTGGGATTGAGCCCCACATCAGGCTCTCTGCTCAGCAGGGGGGTCTGCTTCCTCCTCTCTCTGACTGCCTCTCAGCTTGTGATCTCTGTCTGTCAAATAAATAAATAAAAATCTAAAAAAAAACAACAAAAAAAAACCCTATAGGGCAGAGTCTGTCACTGACTTGCTGTGTGACAGACAAGCTCATTTTATCTAAGACTACGTTTCCTCAACTACAAAATGAGTTTCTGAAACTAAAATAACTAAGGATTCTTCCTGGCTATGGGGTTCTTATACTTTGTTGTTTGGTAATCTCCCTCATTAAATGTACTTAATATACATAAAATCAGTTAATTATCTCAATAGTTGTGTGAATGGATGTCAAACCAGATATTATGCTCTCTAGGAAGTCTTGTTGGGCTGTGTAATGGGTCCCCACTTTGGATTAAGTGGGATCTCCATGCCTCTATAATGAGCACTTTGGACTGGTCTGTGATACAATGTTAAGTAATATTTATATGTTTAATATTTCTTCTCCACAAAACTATAAGTTCCCTAAGCGACTTATAAATTATATAAATTCCAAAACTTTAACAGTATCTACCGTATGTATTTAATGAAATGAATAGAGTTCCAATACTAGAAACTTCTGCAGTACAACCACTGGTAAGCAACTGTTACAAGTCAATAACCAAGGAATCTAAATATTTTTTAAATTTATTTTTATTTTTTTAAGGAATCTAAATCTTGCATTAGATTTAAAGCAAATGTCTAGAAATAAAGTATACAAGACACACTTTTCATAAAATTTATAACATTTATTTAGGCAAAAAAAAAAAATTCCCAAACAAAACTCTGTACACACACAACATTAATACCTAAGTGATGTCCTGATTTAAAATATAGCATGATTCATGTACAGAACACTCCCACTCATCTGGCTACAGTGAGAACAGTGCCTTCAGTCCAGATAACTGAGAGCCCTTAAAATGAACACATTACACTTTCCAATGAATTTTTCATATCCTTTGAAAGGAATTAAACTCTTCCATCAGAATTCAAGCAAAAGATAGCTTTTCTCTCACAAGTCCATGGGAATTTGACAGTGGGAAATCTACAAAAGTCAAGGATTTTAAAATTTTATTCTTGCAGATTATCTGAGTATAAATCTTGACATTAACATCATCCCATTTTTAAAGAAAAAAATGTTCCCAAGAATTTCTTGCTTTTATGAAAGTATGTCTCAGCTTTCATTAGCTAAGTAGCTTCTTGCTTCTAAGCTGATTAAAATAATCTTAAAAGAACCCATCTGAACAGTTTTCCCAAAAGTAAGTTCAAAATTAAGCACATACTATTAATGAACTAGATTTATGACTTCACAGAATAATTTTGATCAATGTGGATTTTCTAAGTATTCTTTATTTATTTGACAGAGAGAGATCACAAGTAGACGGAGAGGCAGTCAGAGAGAGAGAGAGAGAGAGAGAGAGGGAAGCAGGCTCCCTGCTGAGCTGAGAGCCCGATGCGGGACTCGATCCCAGGATGCTGAGATCATGACCTGAGCTGAAGGCAGTGGCTTAACCCACTGAGCCACCCAGGCTCCCCTCTAAGTATTCTTAATAGCCATTCTATCTAGCTCTAAAGTTTGGTTGTACCATCCAAACAAACTTTAATTCATCCAGAGAAATGAGAAGTAGCACTGTTTTTCCCATAATTTACCCCCAAAAACTGGTGATGGGAGAAACAGGCAGAGAAAGCTCTTTCTCAGGCTACCAATCAGTTAACATAGAATGTCTTAGATTAAGATCTGAAAACTAAAGAATGCATAATTAGGAGTGTACCGTGTCATGCAAAGTCTATGAGATACTAAAAAAGATAAAGCAATTACTCATTAAAAGCACATTCAGCAAATTCCTATTATACTGTTATTCTCATCACTGGATGAAGGCTGGATTTGCATTATTTCTAAAATAGTGTATGAGTTGACACTAAAAATGAAAAAATGTGTCAATACAAAGCAAATGGTAAAGATTAAACATCCAACATCCACACAGTCACTTGAAACTGCTACAATGGATTTGAGAGGGAAACTAAGTTTTGCAAACTGCTCTGTAAGCTGGTATACACTACTCTGAAGCCCTACCCATATAAGGTTCCTAAACAAGTTACATATAGATAAAAGTGCCCACATCAGCTGGTATTATGATACTGCCTTTTACTTAGACTTTCAATTTAATAATACTGTTTATTCTGTAATAAAAGTTGCACAATGACCAAATAGTGTAAACACACCAGTAGAGGGCAGAAGAGGGGTGGCTTTCAACACACACAAAACTAAGTTTGTTTTCCCTGCTACTCATGACCTCTTTTCAACCTTGGGGCCTGTGGCTGCACACTGTTCTATGGGCAGTGATGCACTTTGAAAACACTAAGCCAAAACCATCGTTCATTAATCTAATCTATCATAATTTAGCACATAAAATATGTTTTCATAAAAATGTGCTCCAAAGAGCTAGAAGATGGCCCAATGGTCTCTTGACACATAGCATAATTAAACATACAGCTAAATGAAAGTGACGAGGGAGAAAAAGGGCCAACTTAAAAGGTCTCAATAGTAAGAACAACTTTCTAGGCTGGAGAGACTGATGTTTTTAAACATGAATCTTTGATTCTTTGGAAGTCTGCAAACAAAAGAGATCATGAAATTAAATCCCTGTAGCACCCTTTTATGGTGATTCACATCCACTTTGGGTAATTAAGTTGACTATTGCTACCAACTGGCATTTCTGTCCAGGGCTAAAGAGCAACAATATTTAAGGTCAATTCCTGGAACTGTGGGTCTGATAATTTAAAAAAGACTCAACTAAGATCAGTAGCCACTGAGTCCTTGGCCAGAGGGTAAATTAACCCCTTATTATTACTTGATTTATGTTTTTTTTTCCAACTGCCAACAGGAAAAATGATTTTTTAGAATTTAAAGACCACAAGCAAAACGTACTTGATGGAAAGAACGAGATACCTTATTTTTGCTTTAATTTCAGACCATTTTTGTTTTACTCAGTGATACCAACATGCATCATTATACTCTAAAAAGTCTAATTCCATTTTCTTTGGTAGATCTAAACCTTGCTGCTGCTTGTGGGCTGATGGTGCGACATTTTATAATATCTGAGTGCACCAGTGATTTCAGCAATGAGTGGTTCAACCCTAGTCTAAGTTGAAACAGCACCTCTAAGCCACTGAAGAGGTAACCCTTGAAGGCACCAAGTACTGTTAACATTCCAGTATACACATGTAAAAGGGAGGCCTAACAGATTCTAACTGTAGACACAGGTGAGTTATGCCTCATAATTTCAATATATACAACTATTACATTTTAGCCAGATTCAGGACCTTAGAAACAATTCTGTGCCTTAGATACACAATTTTAAGAACCATCCCAACCACAAAGGCACTGCAATTTTTATATATGGGATGTGACCAATTATTTTGCTTTTAAGACTAAGAAATATCCGACCATTACCAATGCTCAAAGTAGTAAGTTTAGAATTAACTTTAAATATTTTTGAGTCTTCATCTATCAAGTTATTCTGAATAATGGAGTTGTTGTTTTCTGTACATTTTTAGCTATTTCTGAAAACAATTTGTAAAGATAAAAACCTAAGATTAGCATATAAAGAACATGCACTTTTGTCTTAAATAAGACATAAAAGAAACTTGAAGCCAAACTTCTCAAACAGGCTTTCCCTTAACTATCCAAGCTAAGAGACCTGGAGATAGTAGTCAACATAGCCAGCAACTTCCAAGTTAGTGTAGGCCATCCTATTTTCTGCATTTTGCCTTAGACATTAAAATCTGGGAAAAAGGGGGAAAGTTAAAAGAATTTTCCACTTCCTCTGAAATAGACAATCTGTGAAAATTTATCTTGAGCCTATAAAAATTCCTTAAACCAATTAAGTCAGAGGTAACCCAGAATATGATATGGTTTTTAATGGTTCTAAATACCTATTTTCTTTCAGTTTAAGTTTTCATCCCTGCGAAGGAGTACGAAATAATTCAAGTATGACTTTTGTGACAGTGGTTTGAAATACATATGTCAAAAATGTTATCAGCATACTACTAAGCCAGCTCCTTTCTAAATAAAAATGCGTCTAAATAATCACCATAATTTAAACATACCATTTAAATCTCTACTGAAAACATTCTGGCCATCTATGAAGAAAACACAGTCATCTCAAATTGTCATTAACCTTATTCACAAACTAAAACTGAAAATAGAAATTAAGTTTTGTGGTGACTTCCTACCTCCCAGGTTTCATTATTGATATAATGATAATTGATTCTTTACTATGCTATAACAGGTATCATAAAGGAAAGGCAACTGTCTAAAAAATAACCCATCAAAAAATATTTCCTTTTTATGCACCGTAACTAGAATCATTACACTTAATAATAGCCTAGTGCTTCTCATTCATTTTTGGCAGTGAGATGTGGACATCTTTTCCAACATGAGAACATTAAGATACATGTATTTTGAAAGAAAGGAAAATTTAACTTCTTGTGACAAAATTTACTGTTGTTAACTGTACCTTAACTGAGCCGGTAATACCATGTGTAGTCTCTATTTCACTGAACAAAATGACTTTGAAATAGAGGGAAAAGAACGGTCAGTTTTAACAAGAGACAATTTTATAAAAATTCACATTTCACAACAGTATGACATATAGAGATCCAGACAGTTCTTCTTTAACACAGAATGCTGTAAGATTTTACATTGTGATGCCTGGGGAAGTATTTCTACAGAGTAACCAGCAGTCTGTGTAGGAAGCAGTAGCCCAAGCTCCCAGGAATAAATATGAACAAGCTACTGCTCACTGCCTCAGAAGAGGGTTCCAGAAGGATAGCTTGTTCTAGTTTAAAAACTATACTGTAAGAGCAGACCTTTCTCCAGTTCCTAATCTCGTTTCTCTCTTACTAGTTTTCTTTCTAATTTATTTTTTTTTTTGCCAACCACCCAGGCTCCAGTCAGTGAGTAGCTTTCCAAGAGGACTCGACTTTCTGTTCTTTCACACTAAGAAGGACATCTTATAAAAGGTATACAGACAGAGAATAAAGGCATTTTATACAGAAGCAGTATAAAACTTATAACTGAAGCAGTGCTGGAAATCAGGTTAACAGCTCATCCGAAGCTGCAAATTGATTGGAAGAGACTTTAAGATCAGAAAAGTCTGGCCTAAGGGTTCGTGCAAACTTGATCATAAAACCGTAGAATTTCAAGCACAGGTAAGTTCAAACACAGAAAGATATGGAAAATGTCCTAAAAGGCAATGACGAAGGAAGAGACCCTTCATGCCTCAGAAGTTAAAAATCACAAGACAAATTAGAGACTGTTCACATGGGCAGTACTGTACACTATCAAACCCAAACTGATCTTATGACTCTTGTCATAGAAACCCCTAAAACAGCACAGAGGATAAGATATTCCAAATGAACCTATCATGAAAAGGATTCCTGTGATTCAGTTATCCAACTACCTATGGCTATCAATTTAGTCTAGCCTGGGGCTGCTTTTTACAGGGAGGTGGTCTGCCATGGCGCACAATGTGTTTTTCTAAGCTGTCCAGAATGGCCACAGCGATCTGTTGAACATGGGGATCAGTCTGTTCATGTTCTTTGATGTTGTATAAATGCTGCAATCCTCCTTCCTCAATCAGCATGCTGCAATACCTTGAGGCTGAAAAAGAGGAGAAAGAGCTTTTCTTACAACACTTAAAAATTATCCCACACACAAAAAAGTTCTTTTTTCACTTAAATCTTAACTATTTTGTTATAGACCACTAACATATGCTACAGCTTGATAAATACCTCTGTAGTGATGTTATGTCTACACTGCAAGTCCCCACAAATAATAATGATTCTCTCATATATATATATAGATAGATATATAACATATAGATATATCTATATAGAACGGTCTCATATATATATATTATATATATTTCTTAAAAAATCTTATAAAATCTTTATTTTTTAAAAAGACTTTATTGGGGGCACCTGGGTGGCTCAGTGGGTTAAAGCCTCTGCCTTCGGCTCGGGTCAGGATCCCAGGGTCCTGGGATCGAGCCCCACGTCGGGCTCTCTGCTCAGCAGGGATCCTGCTTCTCCAAAGAGAAAAAAAACATTTTTTAGGGGTGCCTGGGTGGCTCAATCATTGGGCATCTGCTTTTGGCTCAGGTCATGACTTCCAGGGTCCTGGGACCAAGCATTAGGTCAGGTTCCCTGCTAGGCTGGGAGCCTGGTTCTCCCTCTCTTGCTCCCCCTGCTTGTGTTCCCTCTGTCTCTCTGCCAGATAAACAAATAAAATCTTTTAAAAAAAGTTTTTTTAGTTTTAGTCATATTTATTAAAGTATATTTATACACAAAAAAATACTCAAATTTAATTTACAATTTGATGGGTTTTGGCAAATGTATACACTTGTGTAACTACCATCGTAATTAGAATATGGGATATTTTTTAAAAAGTCTCCTTGTGCACCACTGTAGTCATTCTCCTCTGTATCCCAACCCAGGCAAACACTCTTCTAATTTCTTTTTTTTTTTTTTTAAGATTTTATTTATATGACAGAGAGAGATATAGGGAGAGAGGGAATATAGTCGGGGGAGTGGGAGAAGGAGAAGCAGGCTGCCTTTGACCAGGGAGCCCGATGTAGGGCTCGATCCCAGAATCCTGGGACCATGACCTGAGCAGAAGGCAGACACTTAATGACTGAGCCACCCAGGTGCCCCACTTTTCTAATTTCATGATATAGACTACCCTTGGCTGCTCTAGAACTTCATGTAAATAAAATCATACAGTAGGTATTCTTTTGAGTCTGTCTACTTTTGCTGAACATGACATTTCTGAGATGCATCCATATTGTTACACACATATGTATGTAGCAGTTTTAGGGTTTTTTAAAAAGTATTTTTAGGGGCACCTGGGTGGCTCAGTAGGTTAAGCCTCTGCCTTCGGCTCGGGTCATGATCTCAGGGTCCTGTGATCGAGCCCTGTGTTGGGCTCTCTGCTTGGCAGGGAGCCTGCTTCCCCCTCTCTCTCTCTGCCTGCCCCTCTGCCTACTTGTGATCTCTGTCTGTTAAATAAATAAATGAAATTTTTTTTTAAATTTTTATTTATTTATTTATTTATTTATTTATTTATTTGACAGACAGAGATCACAAGCAGGCAGAGAGGCAGGCAGAGAGAGAGGAGGAAGCAGGCTCCCCGCCGAGCAGAGTGCCCGATGCGGGGCTCGATCCCAGGACCCTGAGATCACAACCCGAGCCAAAGGCAGCGGCTTAACCCACTGAGCCACCCAGGCGCCCCTAAATGAAATCTTTAAGAAAAAAAAAATAGTATATTTAAAAGTTTCAGTATTAAGTACAAGTATTTTAAGTAAGCACTCCATTGCATTGAATATACTACATATTTTTAATGTTATTGTACTAATGGACATCTGTTGGATTCTTTTCTCCCCGTGTTTTGTTACAAAGACTAAAAATACTATAATCATTCCTGCAGAAGTTTTGAGGAAATACTTAGAAAGCTGGATAAATGCTAAAAGTATGCTTAACTTTGTAAGAAATCACCAAACTGTTTTCAGAACTGGTTGTCTAATTTTTCAGTCCCATCAGTCATGAATGAGAAAGCTGTTTCACATCCTTGCCAACACTTGTCATCATCCATCTTTTTGTTTATAGGCAGCCTTCTTAGTAGGTGTGAAGTAGTGTCTCATTGTGGTTTTTAATTTCTATTTCTCCATGACTAATGATGTTGAGCTTCTTTTCATTTGCTTTTTGGCCATTCATATGCAGTCTTTGTAGAAAGACTATTTTTTTTTTTTTTAGAAAGACTATTTAGATCCTTTGCCTACCTTTAAAAGAAGTTTATTTATTTATTTATTTATTTTTAATTTATTTGACAGACAGAGATCACAAGTAGGCAGAGACAGGCAGAGAGAGAGGAGGAAGCAGGCTCCCCGCTGAGCAGAGGGCCCGATGCGGGGCTCGATCCCAGGATCCCGGGATCATGACCTGAGCTGAAGGCAGAGGCTTTAACCCACTGAGCCACCCAGGCGCCCCTCCTTTGCCTACCTTTAAACTGGGCTCTTTTTATTGAGCTGTAAGAGCTCTTTATATGTTCTGAAAACATGCCCCTCATCAGATATATAATTTGCAAATATATCCAACCATTCTGTAAGTTGTCTTTTCACTTTCTTGGTGGTATCCTTTGAACCACAAAAGTTTTAAAATGTTTTATTAAACCCAATTAAATTAGTCACTTATGCTTTTGGTGTCCTAGGAAGCTATTGCTTAATCTAAGGTTATGGTGATTTATGTCTATGTTCCCTCCTAAAAAATTTATATGCATATATATATGTAGATGTGGTTCTTACATTTAGGCCTAGGCCTCATTTGGAGTTAATTTTATTTTGAGTTAATTTTTATATATGGTATGTGGTAAGGAATCAAGTTCTCTCACATGTGCCTATTCAGTTTTCCCAGCACCATTTGTTGAAAAAACAATTCCTTCCCCATTGAATTGTCTTGGCATCCTTGTCAAAAATCAATTGACCAGGGACGCCTGGGTGGCTCAGTTGGTTGGACGACTGCCTTCGGCTCAGGTCATGATCCTGGAGTCCCGGGATCGAGTCCCGCATCGGGCTCCCAGCTCCATGGGGAGTCTGCTTCTCCCTCTGACCTTCTCCTTGCTCATGCTCTCTCTCACTGTCTCTCTCTCAAATAAATAAATAAAATCTAAAAAAAAAAAAAAAAACCTGGGAAACTTTAAAAAAAAAAAATCGACCATAAATACATGGATCTATTTCTGGACTTTCAATTCTAGTGTACTGATATATATGTTTATCTTAATGCTGTTCAATACCTTTAATGGGTTATTTGCCTTCCATTAATCTTCTTTGGTAAAGGGTCTGTTCAAATCTTTTGCCCATTTTCTTTTTACTTGTTTTGTTTTCTTATTATTAGATTTTGAGAGTTCTTTTTGTTTTTTTAAAGATTTTATTTATTTGAGAGAGAGAGAGAGAGCACACAAGAGGGGGTAGTGGCAGGCAGAGGGAGAAGGAGAAGCAAGCTTCCTGCAGAGAAAAGAGCCCAATGTGGGGCTCAATCCCAGGACCCTGAGCCCAAGTCAGATCCTGACCCCAGGAGCATGACCTGAGCCGAAGTCAGATGCTTAACTGACTGAGCCACCAGGCACCCCTAAGTTTTGAGAGTTATTTTTCCTTTTTTTTTTTTAAAGGATTTTTTTTTTTTTTTGACACACACACAGAGAGAGAGAGAGAGAGAGAGAGCGAGCGCACAAGTAGGCAAAGAGGCAGGCAGGGAGAGAGGGGGAAGCAAGCTCCCCGCTGAGCAGAGAGCCCGATGCAGGGCTCGATCCCAGGACCCTGAGATCATGACCTGAGCCGAGGGCAGAGGCTTAACCCACTGAGCCACCCAGGCATCCTTAAGGATTTTTATTTATTTATTTATTTGACAGAGAGAGACAGAGGGAGAGAGAGCACAAGCAGGAGGAGTGGAAGAGGGAGAAGCAAGCTCCCCATGTGCTTCTGGATCCCAGGGCCCTGGGATCATAGCCTGAGCTGAAGGCAGACGCTTAACTGACTGAGCTACTCAGGCTCCCTGAAAGTTCTTGTTTTTTTCTTTTTTTAGATTTTACTTATTTATTTTGTTTTATTTTATTTTTTTAAAGATTTTATTTATTTATTTATTTGACAGAGAGAGAGATAGATCACAAGTAGGCAGAGAGGCAGGCAGAGAGAGAGAAAGGGAAGCAGGCTCCCTGCTGAGCAGAGAGCCCGACGCGGGGCTTGATCCCAGGACCCTGGGATCATGACCCGAGCTGAAGGCAGAGGCTTTAACCCACTGAGCCACCCCGGCGCCCCTTACTTATTTATTTTAAAGATTTTATTTATGTATTTATTTGTCAGAGAGAGAGAGAGAGCGAGAGAGCACACACAAACAGGAGTGGCAGGCAGAGGCAGAGAGAGAAGCAGGCTCCCTGAAGAGCAAGGAGCCCTATGCGGGACTTGATCCCAGGACCCTGGGACCATGGCCTGAGCCAAAGGCAATGGCTTAATTGACTGAGCCACCCAGGTGTCCTGAGATTTTATTTATTTGAGAGAGAGTGAGAGAGTACAAGTGGGGTGAAGGGCAGAGGGAGAAACAAACTCCCTGCTGAGCAAGGATTCCGATGCGGGCTCAATCCTGGGACTCCAGGATCATAACTGAGCCGAAGGCAGACACTTAACCAACTGAGCCACCCAGGATCCCCGAGAGTTCTTTATAAAAATTTTGAGGGGTGCCTGGGTGATTCAGTGGGTTAAAGCCTCTGCCTTTGGCTCAGGTCATGATCCCAGAGTCCTGGGATTGAGCCCCACATCGGGCTCTCTGCTCAGCAGGAAGCCTGCTTCCTCCTCTCTCCCTGCCTGCCTCTCTGCCTACTTGTGATCTCTGTCTGTCAAATAAATAAATAAAATCTTAAAAATAAATAAATAAATAAAAAATAAAAATTTTGAATACAAGCACTTTATCAGACATGTGATTTGTAAATAGTTTGATCCAGTATGTGTACTGGCTTTTTATTTTCTCTAACAGTGTCTTTCAAAGAACAGAAGCCCTTAAGTTTGATCAAGTGCAATTTAGCAATTTTTTCTTTTGTAGATCATGCTTTTGTGC